AAAGTAACTTCATTAAAAAAAAAATTGAATTAATGCAGTTACAGATATAACAGAAGTAGTCTGCATTTATTCAATCGATGTTAGCCGAGGTTGTGAAATGGTAAAACAGACAACATGAAGACCCACTTCAGACCACAATTATTTTAAAGTTTTTGCTATTAGGGATGTAAAGAAGATACATTTATAAAGCAATTATGTTTGATGAAAATTAGTTGATAGATCAAAGAAAAATAAGAAAGAAACCAGTAAAAATCACAATTTTTCACAATTTACGCGGGTTTTCACAATATGGGTGGACTCAATTGTCAAGTTAAATGGACTTATTGTTAGCTACAATTGAATGAAGTTTGTATTAGATTGCTTGAAATTTAAGGGAGTTTTTAGTTTAAAATTTGTGTTGAAACCGATTTTTCGTTTTTCGCTAAACGCAATGACGTAGAAATAAAAAATGAGGCATCGTTGAACTCGTCATGATGCAAGTAACCTACATACCGAGACTGAACGAAATCAGAGGAAAAAAGTTGAATTCATTGATTTTTGATCAGCTTTATCGATTATTGATTTTTTAAAACAATTATCGAGTTTTTTGCACTAAGAATCTATCTCTTACATGATACAATGTATGGCCCAAGTTTGGTCAAAATTGGTTGGATGGATCTCGAGTGAAAAGGTATCACAAAGTCCTAAAGGCACACGGCACATATAAAAAAATATTTATGGGTAAAAGTGTTCAATATCAATGATAGAGGGTATACAAATATAAGAATCAACATCAACACAGTGACCATAACCCAGAGGAGGGGTGGAATAATCTCTGAGGTGGGGAGGCGCCGACGAAACAGTGTAGTCTGGTTGCTGAAGGTAACATCAATCAGCTAAGTGACAAATCTTATATATATATATATATATATATATATATATATATATATATATATATATATTAAATTAATTGATTTAAAATATTTTTTTCGCTACACTTCAATTTTTGAAACATGGTTAGAACTGTGTAGCGAAAAAAACATATTTTAAATTAATTTATAATACTAATGCTCTGTAAATTTACATTTAGCACTATTTTGTAAAAATAAAAATATCTATAAGAACACCGGATTATGTATCTTACTATTCTTTCTTTCTTTATATATACATATATTAGAAATTGATTTTGGGGATTTAGGCTTATAGCAATGAGTCTAGAAGAATCCTCAACAAAATGCACTGGACGGCCGTTTCGTCCTACCTGGGACTCATCAGCATCCACCACCGAGAATCGAACCTGGACCATTACGATATCACGCAAACGTCTTACAAGTTGTACCACGGGACTCAGTGTCGAAGTTTACACAAACTAGACTCGATATAGCGCCGCTACTCACTCAGTTCCGCAGCGATACTCATCCAAGTATTCAGATAACCTCGGAACAGTGCCCCAAGAGCCACGACTTCACAAAAGTAACGGCAGGTATAAAAAAGAGGGAAGAAAGAAAATTAGGAAGAATATAGACTAAAGAGTAACACGTAGAGCGAAAGAAGGAAATCGAGAAATAAATAAATAAATAAAGAAAGAAAGAAAGAAAGAAAGAAAGAAAGAAAGAAAGAAAGAAAGAAAGAAAAAGAACGAGGAAAATTTAGATTGAAAGAAAGAAAAACGAAGGGAAAAAAATGATAAAAATAGAAAGAAAGAAAGAAAGAAAGAAAGAAAGAAAAGAAGGAAGAAATAAATAAATAAAGAAAGAAAGAGAGAAAGAGGCAAATATATATTGAAAAGGAGGAAGGAAGGAAAAAAAGATAAGTGAAAGGAAAAGTGGTAAACATAGAAGAAAAATATACAAATTAAAGAAATAAAGAAAGCAACGAAAATGTAGATAGAAAAAGAAAAATCGGAAAGAAGAATGAAAGTGAATAAAAAAGAAGGAAAAAGAACATAGAAAAGAACGAAAAGAAATGATTAAGAAAGGAAAATAAAAAACAAAGAAAGAAAAATGAAAGTGATATAAAATATAAAAGAAAGAAGAAAATGATAATACAAGGAAAGAGAATGAAAGAAAGACAAAAGAAAATTAAAGCAATCTGTGAAAGTTGCCAAATACCGGTATAAAATATGCCATGTATTTTCTACTGTAATGACTTTTGGTTGCGATTTATCTCCCTTGAGCTGCCGATTTATATATATTGAGTTGGAAAAAAAAGGTTCGTTGCGTTTTTACTTTGGCTCTTGAAAACATGGTTTAAATTTAAACGAAATTCATACCATGCATACGTTCTTAAATGTGACATTTCAACGTGTCTTGCTATACGATCCATGCGTAGGTTGTGAATTTTAACTCATTTTACGTCAAGAATGAAAATCGAGGAAAATGAGATGCAGTTTTGTCATTCCACGACTAATCGGAAGAAAGATAAAAACTGGAAAAAATAAAATGAAGAAAAAAAAACACATTTCGGTATAAAGTCGGACAGTAAAAGAAGTAACAGGCAATTGTAGAACTCTTATCATATATTTACAAAATACAAAAGGAGATATATACATGCGCACACACGCACATATATTAGAGGTTTTTTTAAAGCGCTTCACCCCAAGCAAGGCGGTTACCGAGAGTTGGAGCGAGAGCAAATAGGAGTGATAGAGGAATGGATGAAGACAAGGATAGGGGATAGATCAAGGCATCTGGAGACGTCGATTGACATTACATTTGAATAGTTGGAGATTATAGCTATCAGGGAAACAAGAAATGGGGAGGGAGTTCGACATGTGAAAAGTGCGAGACATGAAGCTATTTGAGTAGAAGAGACGGTTACATTTAACAGTTTCGACAATGAAAGGGTGAGAGCGAGATGCCAGCCTAGTAGAACGTTTAAATTCATGAAGTCTGGGAGCCAGCGAAAGCAGCTCATCGGAGTAGTTACCATGACAGTATTTGTGAAAAAGACAGAGGGAGGCGACAGCACGTCTGTGAGAGAGCGACTGCAGACGAGATGCCAGATCAGGGCCAATTACATTGCATATCTGTCTCTGGATTTTATCAAGAACCTTGAGAGAAACAAAAGGGATCCCAGACCATATATGGCAGCAATACTCCATGCAAGGGAGAATGGTTGATTTGTAGATTTGAAGGATCGACTCCGGCAAGAAAAATTTCCTAGCGCGGCATAATTATGACATTTTTGTTATCCTATGTTCACGTATCATAAACAGATGAACTTCTATTGAAAAGTAATGGAAAAATGATTGAGTTTGTTTTAGTTCTTGAAAAACGTCACCCCACCGCAAACCGAAAATTCGATTTTACCATATACGCAATGAGGGTAAAAAATAAAAATATTTCTAAAGCTTTATTTTCAATTTGCTAATGATGTAATTAGATAACACTTATGTATTTTAACGCATTTAACAGTTTATAGCTGTAGCATAAAATACAAGCTTGCAAATTAAAAAAAGAAGAAAAAGAAAACAAGTTCCAGACGGTTCTGTAAAGTTCTAAGATATTCCGGGAAGTTCTACACGATTTTAGAAATTTCCTGTTGGGAGTGACATTTAAAAAAATAATCTTAATTAAAAGATTTCTTCATTATCTTTTAACAAAGTTAATCGAATTGTAATACAGAAAATCAAGAATTTACACAATGTCAAAATGTCACAACCCTTTTTCTTTGAGATAAAATCGCAAACGTGTTTGGTTATAATGTGGATTTGTTTTAGCATATATATTATATTTAATTCGTCATATTTCTGTTACACGCGTTTCCAGTCTCGTGACCTTCTTCGGGCATATAAAAGCAATATATTTTTAAAAAGAATAAGGTTTCATATGTTCTTTTAATATCTCATTGTTCGTTTTTGTTATGTATTATTGAACCTTGAACTCCTTTCTGAACTTTTGGCAAAAATGAATTTCTGCTTATGTTTTATAAAACCATTAGGTTTGGTATGATAGATGGTGAATGCTTTCTGCATTCTGTTGAGGTTTCTTCTAGACTTGATGAATTACTTAATTATGATTAACTCAAATCCTCCTAATAATTTCTATCACTTGTATATCCCTGCTTAACCAGCTTCTAATGGTCTGAATGGTGCGGCTTGGGGATAGTAGTCGTGGCTCGTGGGGGTGGGGGGAAGTCCTATGGGTAAGGGAAACTTGGATTAGCTCCACCAGATAATATGTGACTGAGCGGCGCTATATCGAGTCTAATTGGTACAGTTGGTATGACGTTTGCCTCATATCGTAACTGTCCGGGTTTCAATTCTCGAATAGGACGAAACGGCCGTCCAGTGCTTTCTGCATTCTGTTGGGGTTTCTTCTAGACTCAATGAATTAATTAGGATATATATATATATATATATATATATATATATATATATATATATATATATATATATATATATATATATATATATAAAAAATATAGTCATAAGATGTGCTATATTTATGGGATAAAGTGCTCAATATCAGAGATAGATCGTGTGCAAGTATAAAAGTGAACATAGAAGTGGCCTGACGATTGCATCTAGCATGAAACAGACTGTCGCCTCTAAGTGTTGACTTCTATGTTCACTTATATATATATATATATATATTGAGCGTGCTGGCTTTGTTCAAATTGTTGATCATGCTCCTCCCAGAAACTGTAGGGCTCC